TTTCTTTTGTTTCCTTCTTTTTGGATTCTGCTTTTTTCTCGGTCAGATCTGTGGTGACAATTCTATCTTCTATTTCACTGATTCTGTTTTCCATCTCTTCTCCTCTATTTGTATGTCCCTCCATCATGTTAACAGCATCAGAAACCTTAGATTTCAAATTCTGGATCACAGGTTCTTGTTTTCAATGCCTCTAATGCTTCATTTGTTTTCTCTGCGTTGTTTTGGATTTTTTTTAAAGCCCCTCCTTATCTTTGCTAGCACTATTCTGTATTTCATCCAGTTTCTTTTTTATCCATTGAAACTATTCAATCATTGTTCTTTTAAAATCACTATCAGAAAGATCCATCAGGCTTTCTGGCTTCAGGAAATCCGTTGCTACTGTGTCTTCTTTGGGGGTTGATATCTTGCTTTGGGCTGGTGGGACAAGTGAAGCACTCTGCTTTCTATGGGACATTGGTGTGGCAGAGTTCTTCGTGTCTGAGTTGGTAGCTGGTTTTTTATTTGACGTCACTGCTCCAGAAGAAGGTTGGGCAGAAACAAGAATAAATGCATAGAGGGTGCATGCACACTCCAACGCTCACGTGAGTGGGGAGGGAGGAAGCACACACTGATACACGTGGGGAGAGCCTCAGGAGAACCTAAATAATGAAGGAGGAAGTCTGTTGTTCCCTTTCTGGAATAGCTTCCCCACTCTTTGGAGATGCTCAGGATCTCCCTGTTGTTTGAGTTAGTGGGCCCTACGTACTCAGGCCAGAAACCAGTTTGATTCCCCACGTAACTTAATCCTCAATGGTAAATGAATATTTTAGGGGAGGTTGATAAATCTGATAGATGTGGCAAATATGATTGTCTTCCTGGCCCGAGGGCCTAAATGGGTGTGGGGTGTCTGGGTCACAAGCCCCGGCCTGGAACTGCCTCTGGTGTCCTTGCAGATCTCCCAGCAAAGTCCAAGTTTACAAAGATGGCGTTTCCCCACAGACCTCTGGGAACTGTAGTCGGTACCTGCAGTGGTAGCAGACAGGAAGGCTGAGTCGCCAGCCCCGGCCTGGAACTGCCTCTGGTGTCCTTGCAGATCTCCCAGCAAAGTCCAAGTTTACAAAGATGGCGTTTCCCCTTAAGCAGCTATTTCAATTAGTTGTATATCAGAATCCTGACTCTGGTCCTGCCGTGTGCTAAATCCACAACTAAGCAAAATACTTTGCACAGACGATGCTTTTCAAGTGGTAGGATGTTTCTCAAAAGGGATGAGGTGTCTGGATGGTTCCTTTTATTAAACAGGAATCTTTGGTGTACTTGAAATTTTAATGTTGTTGTTATGTGCCATAGAGTCGCTTGCAACTCATAGCGACCCTATGTACAACAGTCCTAAACTCCGCTCTGTTCTGTGCCAATCGCACCATCTCCAATACACCCATCCCAACTGCCCCAGTCACTGAATCAATCCACCTCATAGAGGGCCTTCCCCTCCTGCGCTGTTCCCCCATCTTCCCAAGCATGATGTCCCTCTCCAAGGACCGGTCCCTCTTTACAACATGTCCAAAGTATGTTAGACGAAGCCTCAGAATCCTTGCCTCCAGGGAGCCAACCGGTTTGACCCTTTCCAGGATGAATCTGTTTGTTTTCCTAGCAGTTCATGGTATTCTCAACTCTTCTTCAACACCACAGCTCAAAGGCATCAGTTCTCCTTCTATCCTCCTTAGTCATTGTCCAGCTCTCTGATGCATAACAAGTGTTTGCAAAGACCATGGCCTGGATCAGATGCACTTTAGTCTCCAGTTAACGCAGTCAATCTTTTTTACATTTGAAATAGGTATGTAAGGTGGCTGGTTCCAGAGGGCTTGGGTGATTCTTTAAGATCAGCTGTTACCAAGTAGGTAGGTGGTTTTTTGTGTGTGTGATTGTATTCACTTTTATGGCCTTTAACTTGAAATAAAATTTTTATGTTATACTGGTTTACTTTCAAAGTTTGTATACATTGTTTTTCACACTGGATCTTTCCTTTACCCACCCTTCCCTCCCCCATCAAATTGTGCGACCCTATGAGTAAGCCCTCCCCCATCCTCACCCTTCTGTTCCCCTCCCCACTCCTACACGCTTCTACAATAATGGTCTTATACAGTATTTGTCCTTATGGGACCGAGTTTACTTGGCATAATGCTTGCCAGTCTCTCCCAAGTTAGGTAATAATTTACAAAATCACTGCTCCTGTGTGCTGCATAGTATTTCATTGTCTGTACCATAATTTCTCAGCCCATTCCATTTTGAGAACATACTATAATTTCTGAACCCATTCCTTTGTGGTTGCTGCGCATTTGGGCTTTTTCATGTTCTTGTGATGTTGAATAACTCTGCTATAAACATTGGTGTACAAGTCTCTGTGCCTCAGTTCTCACTTTCTTGGGGTATATTCCAAGCAGTGGAATAGCTGGGTCATATGGAATTTCTATGTTCAGCTTTTTGAGGAAACACCAAATTGCCTACTAGAGTGGTTGTACCATTTTACAATCCCACCAACAATGTGTAAGGGTTCTAATCTTGCCACATCCTCTCCAACATTACTTACTGCCCTGCTAAACTCTGCCACTGCTACTGGGCTAATGTCTTTGTATGGAACTGATCGCCCTCCACTTGGAACCTCCAGTGGGTATCTAAGGCTGTAAATGACACGGGAGATGCCTATCTTTCTCCAGCCAGGCTCCAGGTGTATCGGCAGGGTTTAAACAGTTCTTTCAATGCCAACAAATCTCTTTGGTTTTAGTAGGAGGGGCAGGCACTCTAGAACCACCGCTTAAAATTCTCAGAACAGAGGCATCTTCTATTAAATGCAAATGCCAATATCCAAGACACTTTAATCCATATTCACTGTGAGAATATTTTATTTTAAAATGTCCAACAGTGAATGGATATATCCATACTGGTTTTTATAAATGTAAACACACACATACATATATACAAACAAAGTATATATGTCAGGCTTAAGGAATTGTCCAAAAGAGCAAAATTAATGTAACATGTTTATATTATTTTTGATAATTATTCCTTATTTGAACTGAGGTTCAGCTGTTTCATAGTGACTGGCAAGAATAATGATTAAACAGAGAACAGTAAATTTTACTGCTGTACTGGTTTTCAATGATGGATAATTTGTACTGAGATTCTATAGCTCAGTGAGCTCCCATTAATGAAAAACTATTATCCTTTACCACAAAATTTTACTGATCTGACATAATTTATTCCTGTAATGGGATCTATATTCTGAAGGAGTAAATCTGTCACTCCTACAAAAAGACTGTTTTCTGTAGAGCTCAAAAAAGTATTATGCCATAATATTCATATTTCAAAGACCATTTTATCTTTAGATGCCATCACAAAATCAGATTATATTCAACAGAGAGACAGCACCATGTTTCTTAACATTTCTCTCCTAAAACAAAAGAAAGTCTTTGAAGAAATTTCAGTAGAGATATTTAGAGGCAAGCACAGCAGCACTTTATTAAAAAGGGAGAGAGTAATATGATCACAAGGAAAAACTCACAAATAAAAATTACATGGTACCTTGGGTGGCATTAAATAAATACAAGGATAGGCATCCCAATCTGGTAGTTTAATGAGAAAGTGGCTTGTAAGCAAAGAAAGATAAGCACATTTATACCGTAAGATGAAGATACGTAATTACTTCACGAAAGCTCATGAATGGTCATATACATAACGATAAAGAGGGGCCATCTTGAATGTTGATTAACTGGACCAAACAGCCTTATCAATTCTAAATATTGCCTGGTGTTCAAATCTGATATTGATTTCTACACAGCTTAGGAAGTCAATATTCTTGACATAGGGGTTTTAAAATTTCTGACCGACATTCCAAACCAATTTGACCAGAACACTGGTTAAGAGTCAATGTCTTCTGACACCAATTTTCCTGGAGTTCCTTATTTTAATGGTGCTCAAACAAAAGTCAAACTCACTGCTGTTGAGTTAGAGCCAATTCATAGCTAACCCTCGACCAGATTTTTGAAGGCTGTAAACAGCATGTAAGAAGACTGCACAGCTTTTTCCCCAAGGACCTGCTGGTATATTTGAATCACCAGCAAAGTATGGCATGTGGATCAGCAGTACAACTCTCTACAGACTATGCCACCAAAGCACTCATTATTGGTACTAAGTCAGCATAATCTGAAAATGATATGGGTATGAAAAGGAGCCCTAAAGTAATATATATATATCTCAATATAATGAAAAGAATTCCATATTCCAGGATCATAAGACAATAATAAAAGGCATTCACTTTCATTTTCCTACAGTCACTCACTTAATGAAAACACAAGTTTTAATTGGGTCCCTTTTGATCAAATGGTATTTCTAAGCAGATACTTGGAATGCTCAGATTTCCACTTTGAGTCTCCTAAATTATAATTTAAGTGTGATCTGAATAAGAACAAGTATCTTATAGGCTGTCACTTAAAACAGTAAATCCTGGATAAATTCAGATAACATGCCTTGTTTGTGGAACTGAAAAAAAAAGACTAGATCAGCATAAAAAGAGAAAGGATGCAACAAATAATCAAGGTGGATAAACACCCAATTATTTTGAAACCTCATCATCTCTGTAAAGCTAGATGGTACAGAAAGGTCAAATATGAGAATGACCAGCCATCAAGCATGAGGAAATTGTTTTCCTATTTGATGCAAATGAAAGAATTTTATGAAAATGTGGGGATAAGAAAGAGAGCAGTTCTGTGCTTCTTGCTGTGTCACCTTTATTACGTTCCTAGTGTCACTGAGACTAGTTTAAAAATAGCCTACAACAAGAATGTGCTAATCACCAGCCACCTTTTCCACCTTTCTTCTTTTTCTGTTGCTGTTTCTTTTTAGTTGCTGGAGCTCCTGCAGGTTTCTGATGTCGTGGGGGGATGATATTACTTGTAGAGGCAGATACTGTTGCTGCACTGCCAGGTCTTGGGGAGGTGGGAGGGCTGCTCACAGTTTTACTAGCGTCCCTGAAATCATGAGATCAGAAGTTTCAGTCATTCACATAGTCAACAAAAAGCATCTGAAATATATGTACAGGGGTTTTGTTTCCCTCCCCTAAAAATCTCTCCTTAATATACTATTTATTTTAAGGTAGATTATTTCTCAATCCATTCATTTTCCCTTTGAATAAATCTATTTTTAGAAATTTTAGAAGAGGAAAGCAAGTTGCTTATAATCCTCATACACAGAAAACACCTTGCTTTTAGCATTTTTTCATACTTTTAGTCATATTACAAATTATCTTTAATCTAGGTATTTTAACTGAATATACTGAAAGTACCTGAAATACTAGACAGAATTTATTACAGAATCAAACAAAATACTGTACCATTTTATTTCCTTTATATAAAAACATCACACAACATATAGCAGGTATCTGACTACACTTTTTATAGTCAAATTACTATCAGTTAATTACTGAGTCAGATTCACAAAGACGAACATATTTTCAAAGTGATCTCAGTTGCAAATAGCTTACAGTTCAGATGCAGCTCCTGCAGTTGCTCCCTGGGTCCCTTTTCCAATTTGATCCTTCTTTTTGCCCTTCTTCCTTCCTCTGTAGTAAGAACGTTCTCGCATTGGTAGCCATCTTTCTGGATCTGGGGTAACTTTTGGGTCATAATTCTTAGGCAGTTTTCCTGTGTAATAATTGATACAGAAATGAGTGTTATGTCACAAACAAAGCCTGGAAATACAATTAAAGGGGAAAGAAATACATCTTAAAAAAAAGGGGGGAAAGAAATACATCTGAAGAAATTTCATTTGTATAATATAGCAAGAAAAAGACTATTTTAAGCATGTCACAATATTCCAAAGTCATAATGCAAAAGATATGCTGATGAACCTATATAAAACTTTTAAAGTTTTCATTTAATAAAAGACAAAAACTTGAAAGAGATAGTGACAAAAATTCATGCTATAGAAAAGAGTGGATTAATATCCTCACTACATGAAGTTCTTTTTAATGAGTAAGTCACTCCAAAATAAAGGGAATGAAATGGGCACAGCTTTAATTTGAGGAAGTTAGGACAGATAAAAACCATCAACCATGTGAAAACATGCTTGACTTCATTAATTAAAAATTACTAGAGTGAAAAACTCTACCAGATTAACAAATATTAAAAGTCTTAATATCCAGGGTCGATGAGATGACAAAACACTATGGGTTGAAATATATCTTGGTAGGGCCTTTCCATTTAATTTGGCAGTGCCAGTCTAAATTTATCAACTTCTAGGAATTTATCCTGTAGAAACACATATAGTACATTAAGACTATCTTTAAGATATTAGTGAGACAATGCATAGATTATAATATACTCATACTACAGTATGTAATACAACTGTATTAAAGATAATAAAGTACATTTATGCTTCATAGTAGTTTCCAGTGGAAAATAAAAATTATCATAATAGGTTAACTTATCAACTAAGTCTACAAAAAGTTTACTGACATATATATATATATGTATATATGTTTCTCTATACTCATCAGAAAGTATTATCTCTGTAGAGATTACATATTCTTTGTATAAACTTGATTTATATCACTTTGTATGTCTATTCATTATATAATGATAGACTTCTATACTTTGTTTTAAGCATTTATCAATAGTAGTTTTGTTTTTAATGCTTATTTGGACACTACAAAAATAGAAAAGGTAGTGAAAATGCAGGTCTATCCTCTGGCTAACTGCTATTCTCTAGTAGTTCCTACTAATAATTATATCAAATACTGAATCTACACCATTTGTCAAATACTCTGATAAAAAAGAACTGGTAACACTTCTAATCAAAAGCAGTGACCTGAATGCACACATTAGCTTGTGCAAAAAAAAAAAAAAAATCTCTCAAAAATCCACTAAAATTGCAATGGACACATCATAATGAAGAACTGGGGAAAAAACCAAAATATTTGAAGCTGAAAAACAGATGGAGTGGTAACAAACTTAGCAGTTTGGGGCAAACAGAATTCTAAGGTAGCAGTGAGCAAAATCATGAAGAAACCTAATTTATACTATGTACCTCTCAAAGATTCCAGCACTCCAGGGATAACCACTAACTAGTCTAAGCCAAAATGATTAATTAAGTCTGAATTTTCGGCATTCCTTTAGTTAAAGGTTCAGGACTGGACATGTGACCTAAGTTGGTCCATTAGAAAGATGCCCTCTTTCACATTGCTGGATGTAAATCATAAGCATGTAGCCCTGACTTTTTTCAGTAACTATGCTATGATTCTCATGAGAAGTACAAAAAAAAAATAAACTACAGAACTAATCAACTTCAATGCTAATCTTCCTCTCTGCATACACAGTAAATTTTAAGTTCATTTGTTTGAAAATTTATAGTCTTGAGAGTATCCTACTATACAAGGCCTTTCTTTTCACTCCAGGCACTGTCCTAATACACACTGAATGTAGTGTCTCATTTAATCCTAGGAAGTGTATACTATTATATTCCATTTTACAAATGAGAAACTCAATTAAGTATTCTCATAGAGACTAGGAAAATAAGGAAATATAGAGAGTAATTTCAGGGAACCAAACTCTAAAGTCAAAATTTTTAAAAGCAGTAATATCAAACATTCACTAAAGACGAAAGAAAGTGTTAAAAGATGCAAGAGAGGGTAGCATAAAGGGCTAAGCTCTACTTCTATCATACAGATAAGAATCTAAGTAGTAAAATAAAAAACAAAAACTTTACCCTTCTTTTTCTTTTTCTTCTTTTTCAAATCTCCTTGGCTACACAGAAAAGAAAAAACCATTACTGTGATGATGACACCATGATAATCTTTTTAGAAAATTAAGTATCAGGAGTTGGGTACCTTATCTTAAACATCCCAGACTCAGTTTACGCTCACCAAACTAACCAACCAGCTCGATGCTAATTCAGGATAAATTCATTCAAGTGCCAAATACTACTGTTTTACAAAGGCAGTATGAAAAAGAGGTGATAATTATAGATACCATTTACACTGAAAATAATTGAAGTGATACATATACAAGGCTTTAGAGACTGGCAAAATATTTGCACATGTATGAAAATCTGTAATAATGATGTAAATTAATATATGTTTTGTAAGACCTTAAATATTATATAATTAAGTTCTTTTCCAGAAAAATACCATGTTGTTGCTATCAGGCCATCAAAATGAGTAACACTAATCGTGACCTTATGAACAACAGATCTGAACATTATTATCCTTTCCTGTGCCAGTTTCATCCTCTCCATCACACCTGAGCCCATTCCTGGAGAAAGTGCGACCACACTGCTCCTTGGAGGCAAGGGTGGCAAAGCTTTGTCTCACATACTTTGGGCATTGTTAGGAAGGGCTAGTCCTTGGAAAGAGACACTATGCTTGGAAAGGTGGATGGTCAGTAAAAGATAAGAACCCCAACAAGATTACAGTGACTGTAAAAATGGGCTCAAGTGTATCAGAGGCAGTAAGAATGGCACAGGATAGGGCAGAAAACAGTTCCAATGTTCATAGGGTTGCTTGCTATAAGTGGTACTCAACAGCACAAAACAACAACATGCCTTTGCTCACACTTTGCTACTTCATACTTACTTCTCAGAGCCAATACAATCTCCACTTCCATGATGCTTTTCTTGATATCCCACCATCCCCAAGAAATCCTATCTATTCCCTCTGATATGCTCCTTATATACTGTTTGAGTATGTACACCTTTCACTGCAATTACTATTTAAATAATCTATTTCCTTTGGTTAAATTTAAATTCTTTGAAGGCGTGAACAGTGATTTGTATGTGTATCTGCATTTGTCATCAATTAAGATAAATCTAGTACATATTACTTCTTCAAAAGAAAACCTGTGAAGCCAAGTATCAGTATATTAAAAAAAAGGTATTAAATAAAAATGCCTCATGAAAATACTGAAATGAAAAAACTTAAAAGTCAGTGTGATCGTTACTCAGGAGAGGATAAAACAGATGAATGGGACCTTCTAAAAATCAAGTATTTGTGTGCATCAAAAACTCCAATACAGTAAAAAAAAAAAAAAGACTGGGGGAAAGTATTTACTAACGACTTCATATCCAGAATCTATAGAACACTCCAGTACCTCAACAAGAAGGCGGCAAACAACCCAACTGCAAAAATAGGCAGATGACATGAAGAGGCTCTTTATCAAAGAGGATATTCAAGTGGTCAAAACCACATGAACTAATGCTTGAAATTGCTATTTATTAGAGAAGTGCAAATAAAAACGACAGTGAGGTATCATCTCACCGTAGTAACAATAGCAAAGATTCACAGGACAACAGATAATGAATGGTGGTGAGGATGCGGAGAGGTTGGAACTCTCAGGAAATTCCTGGTGGGACTATAAACTAGGTAGAGTAGTACAACCAGCATATGCAATGCTACTGCACAAAGACAATGAAATAGGTCTCCAGGACATACTCCTAAAGGAAGCAAGTTGGAAACAGTAGTTATAAAATACCACATACCAGAAAAGAGATGTAGAAAGTGAAGAATTACTGAAAAACAAAGACCACAGCTTTTAGTATGGATTACATCTCACACTCAAGAAAATGAAAACCCCTACCACTGGACAAATGACTTCATTTTACTTGGATCCACAATCAATACTCAGGGAAGAAGCAGTCAAGAAATGACACATTGCATTGGTCAAATCTGCTACCAAGGACCTCTTTAAAGTGCTAAATTCAGAGCAAGCTATCAGTTTAAAGAGTAAGGTGTGCTTAACCTAAGCCATGGTATTTTCAATTGCTTCATATGGATGTGAAAACTGGACAATGAATAAGGAAGATCCAACTAAAAATTTATGCTTTTGAATTGTGGTGCTGAAGAGTACTGAACATCCCACAGACATCCAAAAGAACAAATCTGTTTTGGAGGAATGCAACCAGAATGCTCCTTAGATGCAAGGATGGTGAGACTTCATCTCATATGATTTAGGTGAGACTTTATCTCATATGATCAGGAGGGGGCCAGTCTTTTAAAAGAAGACACCTCACTGGGAAAAGCAGGGGATCAGGGAAAGAGAGGAGAAATCTCAAGGACTGACAGAATGATCTCAACAATGGGCTCTGAACATGGATGCGATTGTGAGGATGACTTAGGATAGGTCAAATTTCAACCTATTATTCATAAGGTTGGTATGAATTAGTAGACTCAATGGAAATGAACAAGAACTTAAAGGAAAATATTTATAAACTACCTTTGTGTATAAAAACAAATGATGGGAAAGCATGTATATCATAGGTTAATTATGAGTGGGTACAGAGAATATGAGATTAATTGATCACAGTGACTGGGGCAATGGGGATAGGTATTTTGAATCAGTGAGACTGACTCAGGACAGGGCAGGCTTCAGTGCTGCTATACACAGGTTCACTGTGAGTTGCAGGCAACTTGAAAGCACATAACAACAACAACATAGAGTACCCAAGCTAGACACATTGACAAAGGAAAAGAAACAGAGACCATGAACTTTACTTACATGGAATCTTATGAGAATGTATTTTCTACTTCTGATATAATGTAGAATCAAATTTTCCAAGTGCTATTTTGACCCCAGCACTGGTGTATTACAATGAGAAGCATTACCCTTGTTCCCGTGGTTAGCAGCACAACACACTAAACACTATGTGCACCACAACTTCTTACCCTTGCTCCTTTGGTTGACTATCTCCGCCACCAAGTTTTCCACCCTTTTTCCGAACGTATGTAGCACCAGGAGAATTTTCAAGAGCCTCAACGTCTACTTTGAGAGACATACTATCCGATGAGGGTAAGTGTTTACTAAGACTAGGGTAGATCTGTAGTTTAGGAACATAATATGCATGCATTTACCAACATAGCAACAGAAATGGACAAACTGGTTTTGATGCCTTTCATCAAAAGCAAAAAGAAAAAAAAATGCTCATAAATCTTTTACAGACTAAGGGTTATAAGATCAATTACATAATATAAACTCTTAAAGGAAAACTTTAGGAAGGAATCATATTCTAATCATGTATTGCTAACTGAGTGATTGAAATCAAGGTGGTAGCTTAATAAAAACTCCATTCCAGGGGAGCTCTGGTGGCCTAGTGGCAAGTAGCTGCAACTACAATCCCAGAGGTGCACGGTTCGAATCCACCAGATGCTCTGCCGGGGAAGGAGGGGCAA